GCCTTGGAACTTAAGATCAAAACCCCAAGCCTTCCGGCGGCGTCGGCTGCCATCATCATCCTGTGAAGTTGCTGCACGCTGAAAGAATTGCGCAAAGCAAGATAAGCTTGCAGAAGGGCGATGGAAACGTGTCCCCACTACCCTTAACCCCTTCCTTCGTGCAGTGTATAACAGACAGAAAACTTGATACGTAGTCGGACATGATCAAGCCACTAGTTTTTGTGGTCACAGCTCATTATAGCCATCACTGAGGTGCTAGCGAAGAGGAATCGCCCTGCCCGCATCCAGAGCCTTGGACCGTAAGATCAAAACCCCAAGCCTTCCGGCGGCGTCGGCTGCCGTCGTCATCATCGTCACCCTTGGAGATTCGGCGTCTGCTGCCATCATCATCCTGCAGCTGGGTGCTCCAAGGGGGGTAATGCTGCGCGGGGTAGAGGGTAACAGGGTGAAACATTTTGATTCACCTCTCTCTCTCTGATCATACAACGCTGCTATAGAGAACTAGCCCTCGCTCCCACCCTTTCCCAGTCCGTACGGCGTCAACACCTTAAGTAACAAATACGCAAAGATTACGACTAGCTTCTGTGTGTTCGTGTGCTCGTGACTCATGTACTCATGAGCATGTTACAGGCAATTATAAGATAAGGGTTGATTTTTTGGCGACTTCTTTATTTGTGACTATTTTTGGTGGCTGGGGACCAGGAATCGAAGGACGCCTCACACCAGAGCGGCGATTCCGAGGCAAAAAATGTGACTGATGAAAAAATCACAAAAATCCTGAAAATGAGAGAAAATGATGTAAAAATGATGAAAACGATAGAAAAATGATGAAGGTGATGCAAAAATGATGATAATGATAGAAAAATGAGAAGCAAATGCTAGAAAACTTCTGAAAATGTTAGAAAGTGAGGAAACATTAGGAAAACGATAGACAAATCATGGAAAATCTGTGGAAAATCAGGAAAATGATAGAAAATGCTGAAAATGGTGAACTTAATGCAGCATAATGACAAACGACAGGAAATTATGACTTATAGAACATAGCGACTAGTTAAAGAACACAGATGAAAAATGATGGAAAGTGATGACCAAATATGAAAGTGATACGAAAAGATGAAAAATGAAGAAAGTGGTGAACAATCATGAGAACTGATGAACAACCATTGTGTGATGACAAATGATGAAACACAATGAGCAATAGTGAAAATGATAGAAAATCATGGGAAAAACGATGAACACGATAAAAAGTGTGAAGCCTGATGTTGAAAAATGATGTTAAATCATGACAACCATGAGAACATGAAGCATGGATGGCATTGAAGGCGGTTGTGGGGGGCGCAGCCCCCCCCGATTTGCAAACAAAATGATGTACGGAGATGATTTAACACGATGACACTGGCAGGCATGGATGGCNNTGCATAACCCTCCCTTACTGATCATCAAGTACAACAACAACCACAACAACAACAACAACAACAACTACTACTACTACTCCTGCTGCTGCTGCTGCTGCTACTGCTTCACGAAGGTACAGAAAGCGAGAAACCACAGAGCTAGAAATCGAAGAAGCCAGAAAGCCAAAAAGCCAAAAAGCCAAGAAGCCAAAGAGCCAAGAAGCCAAAAAGCCAAGAAATCCAAGCAGCCAACAGAAAGAAGGCAGAAGTCAAATAAGTGATGAAAACGATGGAAAATGATGAAGATAATGAGAACGATGAAAAATCTGCATTAACATTCTAGTGAGGAAAATGATATAAATATGATTAAAACGATATAAAAATGATCCAAATGGTAGAAAGTAAAGAAATATTAGGTCATTAGGAAATGATAGAAAATGGTGTGAAATATAATGAAAAATGATGGAAAGCCGAGATTTGAACACGTTCCAGGCCAGGGCCACCCACCCACCACCCCCCACCCCACCCAAAAAAAAAATTAAAAAAAAAGTATCAAAAACACACACACACAAGTCACTAAAACATATACACTCCATAAGATACCGTCAGTATCCACGCTGCCGGCGTTCGAACTATAAGACTTCCCCGCCTTCCGGCGGCGTCGGCTGCCGTCATCATCCTGCAGCTGCGGCGCTGCAAACCGCAAAGGGGGTAACGTTGCTGGACGTTGCTGGGGTAGAGGGTAGCAGGGTGAAACATTTTGACTAGCCCTCGACCCCACCTTTCCCAGTCCATACGGCGTCAACAACTTAAGTAACAAATACATAAAGATTACAACTCGCTTCTGTGTGTTCGTGTGCTCGTGACTCATGCACGCACGAGCATGCTAGAGGCAAAGATGAAATACCATTACTACCCGCGCTGCCGGACATCTGAACTATAGGATTTCCCTGAATGGGAGAAATTTCAGCCTTCCGGCGGCGTCGGCTGCCGTCATCATCATCGTCACCCTTGGAGATGCGGCGTCTGCTGCCGTCATCATCCTGTGAAATTCTTTGGTTGCAAGGGGAGCGCGTGTGTGATAAGGCTGAGGGTCTGGGGCTGAAACATCCCATCCTTGTTTGCCCACACAATATCCACAAATAAGAAGCTTTATGATCATAATTGGTTTCCGCACTCGCAACTCACAGTACTCACGATCATGCTGCTGAAAGCCAAACTACAACACTTGAATTCAATCCAGTTGCATCACTAACCTTGGACCCCAGGCCTTCCGGCGGCGGCGGCGGCTGCCGTCATCATCGTCGTCGCCCTTGCCCATTCGTCGCCTGCGGCTGCCATCATCGTCATCATCCTTGGGTTTTGACCTGGTGGTGGTTGTGGTGGTTGGATAGATCGGATGTGTGGTCGTGGTGGTAAAAAATGGGCATGTCGGATCAACAGGAGGTAAGCTGGGCGTCGTGGTCGTTGTCGTCCTTGGAGGAGGAAGTCCGCAGTACTTTCCGCACTCCGCACAATAGTTATCAAGCCCGGGCTTGATCTTGTGGTCGAACTTTGAATAACACCTATGCATGCACCAGCCAAGATTTGCCCCCTGCAACTTGAACCCATAACAGACCTTCTTGCAAAAAGAGAATTTATCCACGCACTTCGGGTGATCATCATCGTCCCTGTCATCATCCTTGATCATGCGGCGGCGTGAGCCATCGTCATCATCATCGCCACTCTTGAAAATACGGCGCCGATTGAAGATGCGGCGGCGAGAGCCATCGTCATCATCATCGCCACTCTTGGACTTGCGGCGACGAGACCCATCATCGTCATCGCCACTCTTGCGACGACGATTGAAGATGCGGCGACGAGAGCCATCGTCATCATCATCGCCACTCTTGGACTTGCGGCGACGAGACCCATCATCGTCATCGCCACTCTTGCGACGACGATTGAAGATGCGGCGACGAGACCCATCATCGTCATCGCCACTCTTGCGGCGACGATTGAAGATGCGGCGGCGGGAGCCATCGTCATCATCATCGCCACTCTTGAACAAGCGGCGGCGGGAGTCGTCGTCCTTGCCGATGATCACCCTTCGCGACGTCGACCTTCGAGAGCTAGTGCTCCTGCGAGACCGAGAACTGAAGCTTCTCCGAGACCTTGAGCTGAAGCTTCTCCGAGACCTTGAGCTGAAGCTTCTGCGAAATCGGGAGCTGAAGCTTCTGCGAGATCGGGAGCTGAGGCTTCTCCGAGACGACCGGCGGGACTCAGAATCACTGAGCTCCAGGAAAGAGCTCTTGTTCTCTGACCTGGGCCATTTCATGAGGTTTTTGGCTGAGTTGTTGTTGCGTCCAGTTAGTACTGGTACTGCTACGGCTACTGCTAGTACTGATAATACTGCTAGATACTGCTAGTACTGAGACTACTACCAACAACACCACCACCTCCATCACCATGACCACCACCACCGCCGCCACCGCCGCCGCCGCCCGCCGCCGCGCGCCGCCGCCACGGCCACCACCGCCAGCATGACCACAACCGCTGCCACCGCCACCGCGACCGGCACCGCCGCCACCGGCGGCGCCTTCGCCACGCTGCCGCCGCCATGACTGCCACCCCCACCCTCACCCGCACCCCCACCACCATTACCACCAGCACCAGAACCAGCACCCAGCACCCAGCAGCACCAGCACCAGCAGCACCAGCAGCACCAGCACAAGCAGCAGCAGCACAAGCAGCAGCAGCAGCACAAGCAGCAGCAGCAGCAGCAGCAGCAGCAGCAGCACAAGCAGCAGCAGCAGCAGCAGCAGCAGCAGCAGCAGCAGCAGCACCAGCACCAGCAGCAGCAGCAGCAGCA